GGAGGTTAAAACTAATCATTTGGACCGTGAAGAAAACATCAGTTATATCAGATATGTAATAGCTTAATCGGCTTCTAGACAGCATATAGGTACTGGGGCTAACGTGCTTGCAGTATTGAAAAGTCCTTCATTAAGCGTGACCAGTAGGCGTGTGCGTGCATGTGTGTTGGTGTAAAAGTCTCCCTGAGATGAGACTGGACATGTTGCAACATGCTCACAAATGTCAAGGGGACTACAAATGTGCTATGCGTAAAAGCATTAGCAGAGTATTATGATATGTAGTCACAACATGGATAGATTAAGAATAAGATGAACAGGAACCTGTGGAGGAAATCCTGTTGTCCGCTTGGATGTATAATTCTAATGTGGACGCATCCCCGGAGACCATGATGAACTGAACGTGAACTAACGCTGCAGATATGCGGAGGGAGGAGGGGGAGGAGAAGGGGGAGAAGGAGGGGGAGGATAAAACAAAATTGCCAACCTCGGATAAACAATGTTGTTCTTGACCTTAAGGGATACCCACGCCGTTTACCGCAATGTCATTGGCTGGCTTGGTATTGTTAACAGAGAGCCCACGCGCGCTCGCACCGGTTACCGCTTGACATCAGTTCGATATCCTCCTGATGACATTGTATCACCTTTGAGAATCCCCTGTCAGTAGTAACACTGGGTAAGCCAGTATTGACAGATGATCGCTGCCAAGTTGAAGATAGAACAAGGCTCCTATCATGTAGGGTTTGGGATACCGGCACGCTGGTGGAGATGCACGCTGGTCATCACCTTCTAACCAGAGCGCATTTAACATTACGCACGACTGGAATGCTCGCATGTACACATATACAGAGACACACAGCCACAAACACAAACACACAAGAAAAAAGACCAGACAGAAGGAAGACAAGCAGACTTACGGGATGACCCTGGGCTCTGCGGGCCCCTCTGTGTGCCCCATTGTGAAATTCCCGTTATCCCCAATTTTAACAGAATCCTCAAATTCCGTGGTCGCAGTCCACGTCTCTGCAAATGTACCAAAGGATCACATAGAGAATGAGGAGTATGGCGAAGATGAAAAGCGCTACTAAGATGGCCTTGGTCACCGGAGAGATAAGCGACTGCATGTCAGGAGCAGAGCCGGGCTGAGCGGCGTGGGGCTCCGCGTCCGTCCGTCCTCAGTCTGCTATCTCTCTCGCTCTCTTCCTCTCCTCTCCTCCGCTCCGGTAGCAACTGTTGAAAACGGAGCCTGGGGCTTTGTCGTGCGTGGACTCACACATTTAGAGCCTGACGCACATGCACACGCCCACCTTGACACTAATACGGCCGATCCAGGCGCGCAAAGCGTGGGGGCTCCCTTTGCTACAAGTGTCGCGGCAGTGGGCTGTCTGTCCCCAGATCCACTCTCTCTGGCTGCCTGCCGCACTTCAGAGGAGGCAGACGGGGAAGACACGAGTGATAACAGCCCCTATTCGTTCAAATAAGGTTGCACTACGAAAACCCGAAATTCAGCAGGTGGAGGTTTAGAAAAGGCTACATCCAAAAGAGACGTTTATAGACAGAATGGAGAAGTGGAAGTTGCGTGCGAGCCGCTGCACTTGTCTGCGAACAGGTTGATTAGTATTCCTCAGAGTGGAGAGTGTGCTTGTGTGTGCGTTTGTGAGCATGACAGGCTGTCGTATCGCTACCATCTACACACGTTTTTGTGGAAACCCCTCAGTGAAAGCATTAAATAGCCTAGACAGAAATGCATACGGTTACTGCATTAAATCCGTTTCCACTTGATGCACACTTTAGTGGTATTTTACATTCTTCTTAGCTTAAAGGTTGGTAGGCCTACTTGTGGGTTGTTGCCTACGTGTTCATTCAAAAAGAAGTAATACCATAATAACCATATAATATGGGGCAGATAGTCTGGAATGTCATTGAAAGCTTTTGTCAAGTCACATTAATGTAGGCTTAGGTCTACTGCCGTTGTAGATGCAAGAGATAAATGTTAAACATCACAAGGTCATAGGCTAATTGAGACGTCTATCAGAGGATTTTGTTTATTTGTATGGGCTTTTTGTTGTTCTTGTTTCTAATGAACATACAATGTATGTCAAACCTACAATGGGTCTGTAACTGGCATGGTCACTCACTATCACCCACAGGTCCAACTGAAATTACCTTTGCTTTCAGGCAAGCAAATAGCCTACTCCACGTGAATAGCTGCAGCCTATCCGGAAATACAAACTCCTCATCACACATGACTGCATGTAACTGAATTTTCATGTCTTTAGCCCACTTATATGATCGTGCTTAATCATAATTTTATCAGATGACCGCAAATGACAGCCAATTTAGTCCCTGTACAGGCTAATAACATGCATAAATAGAATGGATTCACCATAAGTTGATATAGACTACACATTTTAGATGGATTTTTCTAAAAGGCAAAAAGTACCGAGAACAAAGATAATAATTAAGACTATTTTTAAAAACATTTTTGGAAGTAGGTCGCCAAATTGTAGCTGGACGGAAATTTATCAGCTGTAGAGATGAGCGCACAGTTCACCACACCTACCAATGTTAATCACTAGATGGCGACAAATTGATATCTCAATGTCTTCGTGAAACGCGATGGTGTATTTGATTATTCCGCATACCATCATTACCCTGTAGTCTTGCATAACAGTCATGACAGCTAAACGGGTTTAAGTCGTCTAGCAGGTAAGGAGAAACCATGCAGCTGTTATAGTGGACGTTGCTTTTTTGCGCCACTGAGACGTACGTTATTGTTTGTCTCAGTAGCGAGCTAACGCTAGCCAGTTAGCATACGCTAGCTTTACTAGCACGCAAGTACACTGTGGCCTGCTGAGGTAGCTTGAGGCGCTAGCGGCACAGCGAACTAGCTCTGCTAACAAGTTTGGTGAAACAGGCAAAACGAAAGTTGTATTTTGTGTCTTGTATGTTGTTTAAGGCGAGCTAGAATTTATCTTTTAATACGTCACATGAGAAGACACGTTTGTTGCTATGAAAGATACTGTCAACTGGCTATTACAGCAACAGACTGATCAATGTTTGCAGTGACTTGCTAGCAGAGATAGCGAATAAGCCACAAATAGGCCGTATGCTTGTCAAGTAAAACACAACTTCCGGTTGTAGCCCTCAAAATAAATCATTTACTGATGCACTTGTTTTAGTGATTCAAAGCTTGTGTAGTGTGATATTAGGACTCAATTGACCGCATTAAATTATGGTTTCGAAAAAAATGTTCTTCTGAGATTGTCATAAAAAGCTATCCAAATTATTGGGAATGGGAATGGTTAGTGCTTAGAAATCTATGACACATTAATAGTGGCACTATTAATTTGTTACTATCGACAGTTTGTATTTATTGTTTAATTTAGAACGTATTTTGTTTCTTCTACACGGTCTACTATTTGAAGTCCTGGAATGGCTTTAATTTTGAAGGCGCTGTGGCGTCTTTTCCTACGTGTCTTCGGCGGTTGTAAATGTGATGTAGTGAGTTTAAGGTTAGCAGCTTTGGTAAGCGCGGCTAGCTAACTGGCTAGCAAGAGACTAAATCCAATTTATCTAGCATTAAGTGGCACAGTGAGTTTGTTTACATATGGGATTAAACAATTGTCGGTGTGTGTTTAAACCATTTATCTACCATACTGCCTCTCGGGTTAGTCTATATAGCGTAAGCTAACGTAACCGTGCAAATATCTTACCAAACGGTCCACAAATGCTAGGTTAGCTTGCGTTACCGTTTTAAGATCAACTTAAGCGATTGCCATTTAACTAGCTAACTGGGAGTTCAAGAGTAAAGGCAACACAAGTGTAATATTGCAATAATAAGTATATACTTGGTTTTCTAAATATTCTTTCGCTACTGGATATGTTCTGTTGTCAACGTAGACTAACATTTAACCGTTTTTGAAAGAAGTACTACATAGTTAAGGTGCATTAACTTGTAACTTAAACATGGCTCTAAACGTCACGTGACCTAGGAACATAAAAGTAGCACATTATTTCAACTAACTAGCTGCTTCACAGAAACAACAGCAGACACTTCAATGAAAAGAGGCATTGTTTGGGTAACGTGTAACTGAGCGGGATCATAATCTTTTGTAAGATAGCTTGGCATATGTGTAGAGCTTGTCCCATGTGTGCAACTTGTAGGTTAATGAAACCTACTGAGAATAGAGTACTGTACAATGCAACAGATTCACCAGACTAAAACTAGACTTGTGTCCAAAAATATGTTGAACATTAAAAAAAAAACTGTTTTATGATGAAGGTCAAATAATGGGGAAATTTAAAAATGTAAGTTTTGAATCCTAGTTATAATTTGTAACTGGGGTGATTTTATTGATGTCATACAGTGTAGTAGGCATTTATGGTATGATTGCCTGATGTTAACTGAGGTGCTGCTGCTTATTTACTATCTTTACATCAAAGAAATGCAATAGAAATCAGGATTTGGATTTTATTATGTAGTCTTTGATTATTTTGTAGTTGTGCATGCTATAATCTTTTCATTTTCAATGTCAAATATGCTAACACAAAAAAACTTATAGAGTGTTTGACATCTAGCCTACTAACACTGTCCAGTCATGTCTGTCTTTCTCTTTACAGACTCAAGATCTACTCTATGTAAGATGAACACTGAAGACAAGTTGGAGGGTATGCTGCTGAAGTGTGGCAGTGGAGGAATAGATGGAGGGAGAGTCAGGCTGGGCAGCGGAGGAGGTCTAGTGGTGATGACTCTGGGGGAGCGATCATTGGTAAACCACCCTCTTTTGGCTGAGGATGATGACGATGAAGACGATGATGAGGACTTGACTGGGACCTCACTGGTTACCCATGACCTGGTTCCTCCAGAGCAGCTGATGATGCAGGAGGAGATTCCAAAGAATGGTGGAGGTGGAGATGAAGAGGGAGGAGGCGAGGTGGGAGTGAATTTCCCCCTAAAACTCACCAATAAGTTGCCCTGCTTGCTTCATATGCCAGTGAGTTCATTCTGGTGAAGAAGTAGTCCGTGTATTGATAAGATTATTTGTGTGGATATTATATCAGTTGTATCCATGTGTAGTGGTTTTCTTTTCATGTCATTCATGCATCTGTTATGGTCTATCAATTCCTTTAATACTGAAAATTCACCCAGCTATTAACGATTAATGAAAACTGCCGTTGGTCCAGGTAACAGTTGCAGACAGCCATGACTGGTTTAGCACCCGTTTGTAAAACAATGGCACACTTAATTTAACAGATTGAATATTGTTAACAAGCAGTTTGAAATGAAATGCTGAATTTAGCATTTTAGTGCATGCCAGTAAAAAGGCTGTGTCACACTGCAGAACATTAATGAATGCTCACTGTTGTTTATCTGGTGTGTTTAAATCACTAAAGGTCAGTGGAAGGTGAACTAGTTCATTATTAGAGTAAGAAAATAGTCCTGCAGATGTTTACACACTGAGGAAAGTATCAGATGAAATATTTGTGCTTTTAACTCTTCTGCATCATTTAAAGCTGAAGTTAGAGCAGATGTGAACTTCAAAAGGCAATTTTTACTCGAAGTGTAAACATTGAGGAAAAACCTACACCAATCCATAGGCTCGTACTTGGAGGAAACATATTTATAATAACTTGGACATTATTTTTATAGAGTTGGGCCAGTTTTTCTGTCCCTAATTATGGTGTATCCATTGGGTTATTTGCTGATGTCATGGAGTGTGGCATCGTATTTTTATAAAGCCAGATATGGAGTCTGCAAGCACTTCCAGGCAGTTGTCAGATGTAATATCTACTCATGTCCTAGGTTGTCTAGGACCTGAGGTTTCCCTCCAGTCCATTATGCCTCCAGCAGAGGGTCATCTATAGAGGATGCTCGAACCATATCATCTGGCTTCTTAAATTGTGGAGGAGCAGCTGCTAAATGGAGTGGTCCCCTCACACTGGTTGATTATCCTGTGCTTGGCATATTGCACTTGCTTGACCTGGATAAACTGCTAGATGAGTTTAAAGCAGGCCATGTGCTAAAAGTCTCACTTAACTGTGGTCCTACTTTTTACAGTTGAGCATCAAGCAGGAGCTGAAGCTGTCTGAGCCAGCAGTCCAGATGAAGAAGGACAAAAAAGCAGTTAAGGACCTGATGGCGTGCACCAAGAAGAAGAAAAGGAAGCAACGTTCACCAGCGAAGGTGCAAGTCAGAAAACCTCTTACAGAATTTCAGCGAGGCATACTTGTCAATTTTGCCAAAGGAAAGACATTTTCAACTAATTTTACAAGACAGATATATTTCCATAGAGATAGTTGTAAGACTGAAACAAATCTTCCTTTGTTCCCTTTCCTCTGGTAGATACTCAGCATCAATGATGATAGATCATTGGGCATACAAAACCCCAAATGCCACGTCTGTGTTCACTGTAATGCAGCATTCAGAACCAACTATCATCTGCAGAGGCATGTCTTCATTCACACTGGTATGAATGGCTCAGTCATGCTATAAAATATCATGTTAATTTCCTGATAGATATTATGTTGTGGATGCATTCAGTCATCAAAAGATGAGCTGTTGAACTAAAGAGCAGCAATGCTAAATTAAACAATAGCTTTTAGCAGATTTTACTTTGTTCTGTATGTACTGAGTATATTTTTGTATATCATTCAAACTCCAGGTGAGAAGCCATTTCAGTGCAGCCAGTGTGACATGCGCTTCATTCAGAAATATCTTCTGCAGAGACATGAGAAGATCCATACTGGTGAGTGAAGAATGAACATAATTAGAATTTCTGGTCTCAAGTGAGGCATTATGTTTTTCCTTATTTTGTCAACTGTGTTTAGGTGAAAAGCCTTTTCGCTGTGATGAGTGTGGGATGAGGTTCATCCAGAAGTATCACATGGAGAGACACAAGAGGACTCATAGTGGAGAGAAGCCCTACCAATGTGACTACTGTCACCAGGTATGCTGCTTTTGTTTGCCTTTAAATTAGTGTGTCTAAGAGCATCAGGACAGTAAACAAAAAGTAGAAAGGTCACCAGGTTCTGTTTGCTGCAGCTTCAGTACTAGCAGAATTAGCATCTCAAGCATTATGAGATATCAGTAAAAATATTTTTTATAAGTTGATAGAGTGGAAAGTGTTTGTCTTGATGTGTCTCTGTTGCCTCACATAAGTGTTTATACTGCACTACAATATAATTAGTTTATATTGTCCCCTGTCCACAGTACTTCTCCAGAACAGACCGTGTTTTAAAGCACAGACGAATGTGTCACGAGAACAGAGAGAGAAAGTCAAACAAGGCTGGTGGAAAGATTGGACCTTTGCATGAAGCAGATGCTTTAGGTCCCTGCTTTCTTGCCAAAGAGTTTTCACTGCCCAAGAAAAAGAGACAAAAGTGTACAGACAAAAGCTCAGGCACTTCGACTGCTGCCCAGCCAGACGGGCAACCGGTTGCTGTTATAGAAGCAGAGGAGAAGGAGGAGCAGACACAGAATAAAATTGATGGTTTACCTCTCCTCACTGGGCCCTCCAAAGTCAAACATGAATATGTGATTGCTGAGTATGTGGAACTTCCTGTTGAGACATCCAGCCAACACAACAACAGAGAAGTGTCTTCAGAGGGGACCACTCCTCCAAAGTTAGTGCTGAAGAAGGTCCCTAAGAGGAGTCTTAAACAGTCCAGTGACCAAACTCCTCCTTGCCTGTCCACTTTGTCTTCCTTTGAGGATAACAGCAAGGTCACACAGTACACCTTTGAAATTGTGGACAAGCAAGCCCTATTAGACGAAAGCAACACTGAACTGGAGTCAGTTGAAACTCTTCAAGGAGAACCAGCAAAGCCAGCAGCCAGCAGCACAAACTACGATGATGCCATGCAGTTTCTCAAGAAGAAACGTTACCTTCACGCTGCAGCTGCCAGCAACAGTCGGGATTACAGTCTGAACACAAGCAGCATTTCTTCTCAGCCACCTGTTACACAAACTGTGGTGTCGACCGTCATTGACGAAACTGTCCCTACCACCATTCTGGAGCCCCAGCCAATCAACACAGAGATCAAGGCAGCTCATGACAAGAATGTGCTGCCAGATGAGGTTCTTCAGACACTGCTGGACCATTACTCCAACAAAGCTAATGGGCAGTCAGACATTTCTTTTACTGTGGCTGACACAGAAGTGACATCAAGCATATCCATTAACTCCTCTGATGTTTCGGACAACAGCCCCATGGAGAATCTCGGGGCCTCTAGCGGTCCAGCTCAGCCAGCTACTGAGAAGGTCAGCCTATTGCAAGAATACTCCAAGTTTCTCCAGCAAGCACTGGAGCGGACGAGTCAGAACGACAGCTACCTGACCAGCCAGAGCCTTAGCTTGGTCTCTGAGAACCCAACGTTAGCTGGACAGCCTCTGTTCTCAACTGAGAAACAGTTTCCTTCCCCCAGCAGGTTCAAATCAGGGATGAGCTCTCCACTGAGGTCCACTTTAGACAAACCTCACTTTGGATTACTGGTTGGGGACTCCCAGCACTCGTTTTCATTTTCAGGTGATGAGGCCACCCCTCCCTCCGCAGTGTCCCCAGCTGAGGAGGACTTTCTGGAGCAGGTCTCGCCCTCCAAGAAGACAGACTCCTCACAGGGAATACTGCAGACTTTTCAAATAAGCTCCTTTGATCAGAACTACAAATCTAATTTCCAGACATCAAGATCTGGATCCTCGTCACAGTTTACTGTTGCCAACGGACAAGTAAGTCTTCGAGGACACGGCACAGACTTCTCCGAGTTCCCCTTGGTCAGAGTAATTGAGACCAGGTCTCAACTGAACTCCGCCCCAGATGTTTCATCCAGTGAAACCTTTGGCTAAGAGGAAGAGAGGTGAATTCATTTCTGTTGATAATGTCAGCTGCACTTTATCTTATGTCTCCTGTTTTGTCAAAAGTAGTCTCACTGCATGTGTGTACTCTTAAGCATTTTTGTTGGAAAACATTTTTTTTTTCCCCCAATAATTCACTTTCACAAAATGGGAATAAGGAAAACTGATGAACCCTAATTAGCAAATTGTAATTGTGCATGTGTAAAGTTCCTGCTCAATCAAAACATTAAGCGACCAAAGTGTAAAGAGAGAGTGAGTTGTTCTCTCATTCCATTGCCTATGAGTTTATTTCGAATGTTGTCAGTTTGCACCTGCACAAAAGATGATCACATGTCTGACAAGTCCCAACTCTTTGCTGCTTAATGCAGTATTTCCACTTATTAAACTGTAGGCCTTAGATATATATATATATATTTATATATACACACACACATCTCACTGCAGCTACCTCCCCTTGCTGTTTATCTGGTTAAGTTCACTCCTAGATTCTCTTTATTTCAGCTGTGTAACTCCTGATAAATTGCTTAGTGAAATGAAACCATGATGAGATAACAAATTCTTCACTTTATGTTGTAGCTTCTTTAATGCCACACCTGTAGTGTGTGTTTCTACCAGATACGAGTCATGAATGCTACGGCAAAGATTGAACTGATTGTATTCATCTGACCTGGGATCTAGTTCATTTTCAAGGCACTGATTTTATAAATGTGACTTTGTAGGGTAGTCTGTTTAATAAAAAGGCAAAGATGCATTAGATTTAAAAGTTCTTCTCTCCCCAAACAGCTGCGTGCACGTAATGGCCGCAGGATAATTTTTATCTTCTTTTACTAGTATTAGTGAGTTGTAGTGAAATTACTTAACATGATTGTGCTTAATGTTTGCACAAATTGCACATCGTTTAATACAGGAGTGGTGTAGTACTTATTTTCCCAGTGGAGGAATTGTAAAAATACCTTCACTTTAAAGGCAACTTTTTTTAAAAATGTGCTTTTTGACACCGACCACTTAGTGAAAAATCATGTCAGACTTGGGTGATGCTCTTTGCTTTAGTCACTTACATGTGATGATGCATCTCTCGTAGTTGCTGTTTTATAGTGCTTTGATTGTTGTCCTTTTAACGGTGTATCGGTTTGGGGGGAACAGCAATGTGATGCGAATGGTAAATGGTCTTATACTTGTATAGCGCCTTTTTATGCTTTACAGCACACTCAAAGCGCTTTTAAATTATTCGGCCATTCACCCATTCGCACTCACGCATTCACACACCGGTGACATCACCGGGAGCAACTGGGGGTTCAGTGTCTTGCTCAAGGACACCTCGACATGTTGACTGGACAAGCCGGGAATCGAACCGCTAATCCTCCGATTAGGAAATGACCCGCTCTACCTCCTGAGCCACAGCCGCCCCCACCATTTGTATTCATTGAGTGTCAAACTTTTTTTTTTTTTTAAGCTTGTATTGTGAAAGACAGTACACGTGGTAATGAGGTGCTTGGTTTTCCAGTTTTATTAGTTTTGCATCTTTGCCTTTCTTTCTTTTTTTTTTTTTTAATTCCAGCCTTTCTTGTTCTCATTCCTTCATATGCATTTCTTTTTACGCAGTTAATGCCTAGGCTACTTATTCAACTTGCACAATAACAACAAACACATAAGCTATCAACCAATTCAGTCTGTAATATGTTGAGATCTGGGAGCTTCATTTAATTTTACCCACTGTATTTTATTTTAGAATTTTAGCATGAAATAGCACCAAGTGTATTGTCTAACTATTATTTATGGATGGAAGGAAATAGCATTTTCCTGTGCTGTGTCGCAGTACCTTTATATGAGCACAGAATCATATTAAGATAACTGTAGATTTGATACTTGATTTTGACCTATTTGCTAGAAATCGGTAGTAAGCCACATGTGTCCACACATTGTTGAAACCATGTGATTTTTAAATGGTTGAGTGAGGTCTCTTCTGTACTGTATCACACTGTCAATGTTCTGTGTGTGTGTGTGTGTGTCATCTTTGGTGCTGTTGTGTTAAACGCTGTTTGTCTTGGCGCCATCAGATTTGCGTTTGCCTCCCTGAAGCTCCTTCATGTTACATTTCAACTGACAATCAGGGACAGACAGCCCCCACATTAATCATGAAATATTTTATTTTTCCTCATTGAGCATTCCCCTTAGAATGTATAGACAATATCCTGCTGTAAATACATTGTATATTTTTTATGTTCTGAGAAGTACTGGTTAGTCTTTGTGTCAATGGAAAGACAAGGTTTGTGCAAGCGACACTTCTGTCAGAGGACGGCACTTTTTTCTTTAGGTTTCCCAGCATTTATCAGATTCAACAAAGGATGCTTTTTACTTGCCGCCAAGATGAGGTCTGTATATATCTCAACAGAAAAAATCAGAAGTTTTTTTTTGTTAGTTTGTTTTCTACAGGTTTATTACAGATTGGTCAAAGCAAACTTTTGTAAGTTAATGCAGCTGGTGGTGCACTATGATGGGTTTGTAATAAAAAGCCCCCAGAAGATGTTTGAGTTGAACATAATACACCACCTGAAATCAGTATTTTTTTCTAATTGAATATTTAATTCCCCATCTGTGAGCAGCTTGAATTCATGTAGGTTCCATTAGATTTTAGGTGGAAAATGAATTGTGTGTTAAAACTAGTCCGGTCATTTCATTGCAAGCAACTTTTAAAAGCACAGTGCAGAGGAGTTCTGCCACGGTAAATTATGTCCCATGTGTTGTTCATGGACATGGTTGAGTTCAGTTTAACAATTTAAAATGCAAACTCGGTGATTGACGTTACAGAATAATCTGAGCAGTACTATGTATGTTTTTTAAAATTAAACTATTATCGGTAACCTGGCCGCAAGTGTCCTTGTATAAGCTAGAAAAAAATCTTGTGTAAAAAGATCTGAATTATGAATTTTTTGATAAATACTATTTTTGAAACATCATTTAAGGCACTGATATGTACAGTATATCATATGCAGTTGCTATTGCTACCCTCATTTATCTCTGTACAAGTTGTTTGTGTCAGTCACACACAGATAGGACTCCCCTCTTTGGCATTTTCCTGCTTTTAAAGACTGTGACAAGGAAGCTTCAGTGCTTCACTGCAAGGGTGACCTTAAGTTGGATTGTAAGGTTTATTTGCATGGTTTCTAACTTGTTGGGTCGAGTGAACTTGTTTTATGAATAATGTGCAGCTTTAATTGTAGCAGATTAATTTCAGTCACGTAACCCATATGATTAGATTTTTTGCAATATATTATGATTTGTAAACAATCAAATGACATTGTTTTGATTGTCGTGTGTCACATCCTTATAAATAAAGTAATTCACAATAGATGACATTGAATTATTTTTGATATTCAAATGCCATCCAGATGCCAGTGCCAGTATAGTATCATTGCATTGCATAGGCCGATTCTGAAGCAAAAACCGGGCAACAAAAGTCCATTTCTTGGTTAAAATGTGGTGGTGGTGGTATTATGAGAGCCTACGGCAAAAATGGGGGAAAGTGTAGTTCTGTAACAGTTGTACAGATGTTTTCAGTTCAGTTGTACAGATGTTTTCAGTTCAGTCTAAAACTCAGAAAATGGTAAACATCTCAGTTGTACACTGGCATCTTCAAATGTGCTAACAAAAATGTAAAAAATATATTCACAGCTTAAATTTACATGTGAAGCTGACGTGCACAAAAGTATGGACAACCCTCCCAGTGTAGTTCAAAACAAACATTAGCATGGAAAGAATTCCACACAAACATAAGGATATGGAGTGGTGCGTGTATTTTCAGCAGTAATCATTAGTCAAGCTTTCCTAATGCAGGTCTTGCCAAAACTAACAGAGCAAAGCAGCAACACACCCTGGAAGGTAACCAGCACGTCAATGGCTGCACGTTAACTGCAGGAGGAACTGGGAGCTCTGGTCATACTGGCGGGATTCATCACGAAAGCACGATGGAATAATAAACTGTCATTTCGATATCTGACCTTTCCTCCTTTATGCTTTCCCCCCATCAGAATGGAGTTTGGTTTGTGAAAGGTAAGTGTAAAATCAGGGACTAAACAAAGATCTTGCCAGTTGAAGTTTGCCTTGTCTTGCTTGTAAACTGAATCGAAACATATTTCATGTGTTTCTTCTCGAATTAATATATGGTTCATATAGCCCACAAACATTAACTTCTGAGCTTTACCTCGTTTCTCTGTCGCAGTCGCATTTGTTTCTTTAACTTGTTTAAAGAAACATTTAGTATATATTTATACAGTAGGTTAGTTTTATTTTAAATGGCCGTATTGAGTATTGGTCAGTGTGTGGAAACGTTTATTCTCGCCAGGAGGAAGCCTTAAATTGACATGTTTGTTAATTTAATGTTTGTTTTGTTAATTAGGTTTGGCTGGAGGAGGACTCGGGTTTCTTGCGCCCTACGAGTCGGAGAGGGGACTAAAAGTTGTCATCAAACATGTTTGATTTATAACTAAACAGTGAGATAAACACCTATTAAAAGTGTTCACGTGTTCTGTTGTTTCACGGTAACCTGCTCGGACTAATTCCTTATTTAAACAGTGACGTTTCAGCCCGGCCAGTCTCTCTGACGTTGGTTTAGCCGCGGTGCCAGGAGCACACCCTGTCGTATCCGGGTGTCCTCACGTTGCACCTGTGTTGACCAAGATAGGCGGGACCGAGATCACTTTCAAGGCAAACTTTCAGCCAGGGCAAACTAAAATGGTCACTTATTAATGGATATCAACTCTCAGCTGATTCTTCCGTCTCACATGAACCTGGCGCACACAGGGCCGCCTGAACGGGAAGCATATGTTTACACCTGCACTGTAAGTTGCAATGGATCTCCTGCCGATAGGATGGGCTGTGCACACCAGAGACCAGGAAGGAGACGGTGCAGGACTGTTGAAAGAGCCAGTTACTGACAGCGACGCAAACGGACATGTCCACGATCTGTTTCATGAAGACGCACAGGTAAGACTTGTGTCCTGATGGCTGAAATATTTCCCAGATCCTTGATGAGGGTCTGGGTAAGCTCAGTTCTGGTAAAATGTTCAAAGCAGGAGCTGTGCTCTCTTTTAGTTGTTACTGGCCTACAGTGATTTTTCTCAAAATGAATATGATGAGGACTGAAGACTTTTCAATTAAAGCCGTGCTCTCTGTGTTTAGGGCTTTCAGCAGCCTAGTCAGCCCTGGTGGAGGATCAAGCTGTTCGTGTGGGAGCCCGTGCTCTTCGGCACCTGGGATGGTGTTTTCACCACCTGCATGATCAACATTTTTGGTGTGGTTTTATTCTTGCGTACCGGCTACCTGGTGGTGAGTTTATTCTGTGTTTTACTGTATCATAGCAAACTGCATAGCCACGTCTAGTTGACTGGTTTGTAGAGAGAAGCCAAAGATTAAAATGAAATAACCTGAAATATTTAAGGTTCAGTGTGTTAAAACAAATGAAAACTAATGAAGCTGTGTGTTCTTGGACCATTTTGCTACTCTGGATCAGATAACTGTTACATAGACTGTGATTTTGGTTTCCTGTGCCGTTTGCAGACTGGCGTCTTTATGCATCTGTGTGTAAACATCCATTTATGGCTGATTATAGGAGTGGCCAAATGGACGACACGTCTCTGTTTAGCTCTGTTGATGTTTAGTGGTAACCATCATGCGTCACCCTGTCAGTTAATGTATATATGTCGTGACACAACTACAAAGATCAACTTTGACATGCTCTTCTACTTACAGTGCCTTGCGAAAGTATTCGGCCCCCTTGAACTTTGCGACCTTTTGCCACATTTCAGGCTTCAAACATAAAGATATAAAACTGTAATTTTTTGTGAAGAATCAACAACAAGTGGGACACAATCATGAAGTAGAACGAAATTTATTGGATATTTCAAACTTTTTTAACAAATAAAAAAACTGAAAAATTGGGCGTGCAAAATTATTCAGCCCCTGCACTGTGATAGTCTCAGAGGTCTGTTTAAAGCGCAGAGAGCATCATGAAGAACAAGGAACACACCAGGCAGGTCCGAGATACTGTTGTGGAGAAGTTTAAAGCCGGATTTGGATACAAAAAGATTTCCCAAGCTTTAAACATCCCAAGGAGCACTGTGCAAGTGATAATATTGAAATGGAAGGAGTATCAGACCACTGCAAATCTACCAAGACCTGGCCGTCCCTTTAAACTTTCAGCTCATACAAGGAGAAGACTGATCAGAGATGCA